ATTAATCTAAAAAAATTAAAGAAATCGGACAACAACCATGTCTGCTTTCCATATAACACAGTTTTATATTCCATCTGATTCTTTAACTTTTCAATATGCAAATCAAGCGCCAATGAATCGACCAGGATAAAACTTCGCACGAATAAATCCTGCGCTTATGATGACACGCATTATGACCAAAAATCGTCAAATTCGAACTAAACTGTACTGGCCCCTAGGTAGCGAATATGTGGAACCGAGTGATAATAGTTGACTTTTCACCGAAAATATCGGTCAATGTATGAGGTATACAATTAAAATTCAGTGAGGGTCCTTTCCTGATAATACTGTGACTGTATGTCAAAAATGGGTTGAATTGGGTCAATACTTCAATTAATTCCCCATATACTTAATATAAAGTCCGGGTGACTTTATACCGCATATATCGGCCAAAATGTGAGTTATCCGAAAAAAATTGATAATTGCTCATAACAGTGAATCTTTGTGCCTAAAATGGATAGAGTTGGGCAAAAACTTGACTTAGCATATATAAATAATATCAGGATTTTCGAACATCCGGCTCAATATGATTGGTAACGACATGTGAGGTACCTTAATAAAACCCAGGGAGCATTTTATTAGTATCTGGTATACTAACGGTATATAGTATTCGCAAAAATAGTTAGTCGATACTACCCCCAACTCCAATATACTACTTATAATGGTTTTCGCTATTTTGACAAGTTTTGTGCCGATTATGTCGGTTAGTGAGTACTATTATACTCTTGCAACATGTTGCTACAGAGTATAATAGTTTTGTTCACCCAAAAGTTGTTTGTATCATCTAAAACTAATCGAGTTAGATATAGACTTATATATATATAAATGATCAATGGGAAGAGACGAGTTGAAATTCGGGTGATTGTCTGTCTGTATGTTCGTCCGCCCATCTGTGCAAGCTGTAACTTGAGTAAAAATTGAGGTAACTTTATGAAACTTGGTACACATGTTTCTTGGTACCGTAAGACGTTTAGTGTAGCACATGGGCGAAATGGACCACTGCCACGCCCAAAAAACAAATAAATTGCCATAACTAAGCTCCAGAATAAGATACAAGACTGTTATTTGTTACACAGGATCACGTTAGGGAGTTAAATTTTTTTTTAATAAGTGGGCGTGGTCCGCCCCCTAATAGGTTAAATGTGCATATCTCCTAAAGCGTTAAAGCTATAATTACAAAATTCACTAAAACCAAAAGCTTTTAGCACTTCTATCGACAGTATAAAAATGGGTGAAATCGAGTGACAACCTCACCCACTCCCCATATAATGGTACTGTTAAAAACGAATAAAAGAGTGATAAATCAAGCAGACTTTATAGGAACCTCGTTCAAAATTAGACAATGGGCGTGGTCTGCTTAACCGATTTCAACCAAATTCGGTACGTAGCATTCTTTTCATATTTCTATATTATAGCGTAAAAATAGTCGAAATCAGATTACAACCACGCCTATTTCCCATATAAGACCATTTAAATCCCAATCTGATTCTTTCACTTTCTACTATGCAAATCAACCAACAATGCATGGGGGTAAAACTTTGTGTGAATAATGCGTTTAAAGTATGCCACCATGTGACCACAAATTGTCAAAATCGAACCAAAACTGTTCAAGCCTCTAAGTACTGATTATGTGGACCCCAGTGCCTATAGTTGACTTTTTACCAAAAATATCGGACTATGTCAAAAAGATATATAGTTGAAATTCATCAAAATAGCTAAATAAAACTCCCGACAATAGTATGTTTTTGTGTCAAAAATTGTAATATGATTTTTGAACTTCCGAGTGACTTTATACCGCATATATCGGCCAATATGTGAGTTATCTCAATGAAATTGAGAAAACGTGTTTTAATAATAACAGTGTATCTTTGTCCCTAAAATGGATAAAATTGGGCGAAAACTTGACCTCGCCCAGATATAACTAATATCAGGATTTTCGAACATTCGTCTGACTTTAGTCCATATGATTGGTGATGGTATGTGAGGGCCCTTAATGAAACATAGGGAGCATTTTATTAGTATGTGGAATGTTAGTAGTATGTGGAATTGGATCACTGCGTCACAGCGACCATTCGAGGCGGCTGTTTCTCTGCTCATATCCCGACGAGGGAGATGTGGATGGGAAGAAGCCGCTGGAGAAGAGGCACGGTGAGCTTTTTCACGGATGATGAAATTAGGAGGGAAAGTTGGAGGGGGGTTTTCGGTAAAGAGCTCTCCGTCAATCTTAGCTTCAGGCTACCGGACCACTGTAGCGTTTTTCTGGCGGAAGAGGCTGAGATCAAGGTGGCGGTAGTAGTACTGCCACGAAGTGCAGCTTCGTTTAGTGAGGTGAGCATTCACTCCGACAGCAGAGCGGCAATACTAGCCCTTACTAATATAAAATTTGACAATTTGTTTCGCTCATAGTATTGAGAGCCGCAATCTTGTACTCTATCATTATTTTAATTGAACCAACTTTTTGTGTGGTAAGTAAATAACGTCCAATTGGAACCTCTCGGTCGATCTTCTACCGATTGTGAAAGTATTCCATTCCGTATAACTAATCCGGATTATATTTAATCAAAAGGAATGCACACTCACTAATTAACTTTGTGTCCATTTCCATCCATCCAACATCTTGAAAACGGAGGAATTGACAGTTTAAAAAAATGAGTTTTCCGTAGAGTACTATTCTATTATATATATGATCTTGCAACAAAAAATTAACATGTTTTTATTTTTTTCCGAACGCGTAACTATTATGATGAGCCACAATATGCAACCCTGTTAGGAATTGCATATGACTATGAACATATGTGTACCATTAAAATCATTAGCATTAGCTCTCCTCCAATTTCAATCTGCTTTCATTTCCTTTAGTACACACTTGTATATGTCGTTTTCCGTTATAATGCCTCGTTGAAATACATCAAGTAACTTTATAACATATTCAAGTACAAAATGTACCTACTCACATATCTATCTAGATTATACTACTATTTTACATAAATACTCTCATTTATACTTGTAAGTATGCATCTAGTACTTTGGGTGTCATTGTTCTCGACTGACAATGTACTTGTCGTTCCTTTGGATAACTCTACTTCAGCAACATACTGCTTTCAAAAGCATATGTCTGTAACTTCTAGTGTGAAAATATACATATATGTAAACACATATAACCTGGATACACTTATATTTAGACAAGTATATATGTATTATATATATAAATATTTACTTAGAAGCAAATTCACGTGTATTAACATGCGCCTCGTGTCTACATATGTATATTCTGTATCCTGTTGAGCGTTTGTACACTTATTTACAAATTTCCCCATTTATTTCCGCACTCCAAAGCTTGCAAGCGCTTAATATACTATGCATATGTTTTTAAACCCACTCCGTTCCCGTCCAGTCTCCGTAAACCATGCCAAATCATTCAATTCAACGCCCACTCGACAAAACAGTGCAGGCCCTGAATATTGTCGTAACGTATGGTATATGTGCACACACATACACACTGGCTGTAAAATGAATATATTCTTAAATTCTAACATGACAGGGTGAATACTTTCTTTGCTGTTTTGTTTTCATTTTGATAATTATTTTCCATCGTCTCACAATAACTCGGTGTATGAATCTGGTACTGGAAACAGAAATGTTACCGGGCGGATACCTGCACTGGCTCCGGTTCTGGTATATCCTATTCACTTATGCAATTGTTTATGTGCGCACCGCATATCCCTATCACTCTTTTTCACTTTAGTCTGAACCCCTTTTAAAATTCTCATACCCATTATCAATTGTTGTGAGTTTTGCTAGTGAGCAAAATTCTGAGCAGTCATTATTTACAGCACAGTGGCACTTTTAACTGATTTGCCTTCACTGTTTAATACTCGTATATTCAGCCATTGATTCATTTATTCAATAGAATACATTCGTTTCTTGTTTGATCATTTCGTCTGCTGAGGAACATTAAAACGTCGCGTGTCCATAGCTTTGTATATTGTACATATTATTTCTTTTTTGGTAAGTAATTAGGCGGAGAAATGTTTGGTTATCTTCGCACTACTTGAATTACTTCAAGATGTGTATACATTTACGAGGAGTGTTCATAACAAGAATTTTCGTTTTTTGAAAAAAATATTTATTCATTCGACTACGCCTTCAAAATAGTCACCATTCCATATTATGCACTTATGGCAGAGCTTTTTCAATTGTCGAAACACTTATTAAACTCGATAAACACGACGGCCCTTTAAGGTTCTTTTTAATTTTTGTAAATAAAAAAAAGTTAAACCGGGCAATGGCTGGCTGACTGGAGGCTGGGGCATCGTTAGAGTATTGTTTTTGGCCAAGATTTCACGAACAAGCAAACATGTCTAACTTTGGTGGTTGCTACAGACAAAGTAATCAATAAAGCTAAAAACTTTGACAATTTGAAGAGTCCAACCCGTGAAAATATAAAATTTCCGTTGTTTTCTGAACACACCTCTTAGATATGTCCATGATAAAAGGCTACAATTATCGTCATAGGTTAAAATTCTGTCAGAGTTCAAGAATATAAAATTTGTGGATTCTTGGTTTTGACAGTCAATGTACACCCTATTTCTGTCACGAAAATCAACCCAGCATATTGTAATATTACAAACTGGTGTACCTTCAGAATTACACTAACTACACTATATGTAATGGACTGATGTAAAGACGTATCTGCGCTGCTCTCAATACCATGACAATTACAGATAAAAACTAGTCTTAGTTGCTAATAAACTTTTACTCAATTAATAAATGTAAAATGTAACCAGTTTTTAAAATACTGTATATATTGTACCAAATGTTTCGTTTTATTGTAGGTCACATTAAAAGCGAATGACTTTTTGACGAAGTTTATAATATAGAAGTCTTAACCGGCTTCATACTATTAATTCACATATTGTTCAATATTTTACTGTATTACCCTATTTTAATTTGCATTACAGGTGCCGAATGGAAACTTTTAACCGAAGATGAAAAACGCCCATTTATTGATGAAGCAAAGCGACTACGGTAATTTTTTGGTCCCAGGAACATTAAATCAGGCTCTAAAATTGCCTTGGCAATTATGTTAATGGAAAATTTACACACATATCTACTTATACTAATTCGTGAAATATTGAAGTTATTGCGGAAAATGTCTAAAATTTATCTATCCTATTAATTCCAGGGCAATGCACATGAAAGAACATCCCGACTACAAATATCGTCCCAGAAGAAAACCGAAAGCATTGCGACGAGATGGCTACCCTTACCCAATGCCATATCCATCAGTGCCCGTGGAAGCGTTACGTGCAGGTGAGTAAGCATGCCTTATAATGTAGAATTCTCATATCCTTCAATGTAGACACTAAAAGGAGTATTGTGGTACGTAGGATTTACGATCATTTTAATATGGAACTTAGCTCAACAGTTTTTAATGTGTAATTAAAATGCAAAGATTTTTCAGAAATTCCAAAACATACATACAAATTAGTCCATTTCGCAACAGGATAATTGCTGAAGCACAACTGAGTAGTTTTATATTTTCATTAACATACAAAGATAAGTGCTGTAAACTAAATCAAAATTTCCTTCAAACAAATATGGATTTGCATATAAGGTCTGCATTATATTGATCCGTACATATGTATGTACATATATTACATAATATAATACACCCACGAAGAACCGCCCTGCTTAGAAGTAGTTTGTCGGAAGTTCATTATTTGCAAAAAGACAAATTTCTAAATGACACGGACGATTGACAACAATGTCAAGAATCGCGTATCCCATTAATGTGCTGATGACATGTAATATATAGCGTCGTATGTGCATATACATACAAGTATATACATATAATAAGATGAACTATTATGTGAGCCACCCTCATAACTATATGCGTGCATGCATTGTAGTTATAAATTTTATTACAACAAAAACATATGCTTAGACTTGTTAAGTCATCAAGTTTAACTATGTACAAACATAAACGGAGTATTCCTCCTTCATGGCGATGCATCAGCAATAAAAACTTCAGACTATTTACCACACTCCATGATTGAGTTCCTCTCCCTTCTAAGGACTGCAGTGTATGATTTGCTTAGTTCACGATTTTATTACGCATTGGGCTGGAGCATCTGTTAAACGGTGAGGTTTTGAATTAGCGTTAATCAATCTGGCGTACTTTCCGTTAAGTTTGGAAATAAGCTATTGTGATGCAAACTGTCTACATGGAAGGTCTCAATAGACCTTAGGTCGTGGTGCAAGCCTCATTCATTATCTATCTACATGGTATGTGTATTTATATGCTGTTTTGAAACGGCTCTTTAAAATATAGCTATATTATACGACCGTATAATAGCTACTTAAAGTAATTTTCAGGTACGCCCGCACACACTATTTGCCACCTTATAAATTTTTATACTCCCGCAATATTTTGCATAGCGCTATGGTGCCAGGAGAGGTGCAGTATCATTATACTCTTGCAACATATTGCTACGGAGTATAACATAACAGTTTTGTTCACCTAACGGTGTTTTGTATCACCTTACCCATTCAAGCTGTAACTTGAGTAAAAATTGAGATATTGTCATGAAATTTTGTACACGTGTTCCTTGGTGAAAAAAAACTTCGGACCACTGCCGAACACACCATTAATCAAAAACCTATACATTCCCATAACCCAAACCGGAAATTAAGATACAAAACTGTAATTTGTTATAACGAATCGCCATAACAGGATGCACCTGTGGTTAGAAAATTTTTAAAAAGTGGGAGTGACCCCTAATATATTTAATGCATATTTCTCCCAAACTATTCAGGATATATCACCAGCTGCACAGGACAAATCACTTTACCACCTCTTACAGTAGCGTGACATTAAGTAAAATCGAATGAAAGCCACGCCCACTACCCATATAACGGTTTTGTTAAAAACTACTTAAAGTGCAATAATTCAATAAGTAAATGCGTCAAAGACATTAAATTTTACACCTAGGATGGCACAAGAGGGCTTTATAGGAGCAGGAGGAGGTGCCCCGCCCACGGACCTACCAGACCAATTTGAACCAAATTTGGTATAATAAATTATTTTGAAATTTCCATGTCAAATTGCGAAAATGGACGAAATCGGATAAAAACAACGCCTACTTCGCATATAACACAATTTTAAATTCCATCTGATTCGTTCATTTTCCAGTAAACAACTCAAGAACTAATCAATAGGATAAAACTTTCCACGAATAGCGCCTTCGAGTTTTCCAAATACCACCTTGTGACTAAAAATTGTCAAATCTGACGAAAGCTTTTCAAGCCCCCAAATACCAGAAATGTGTACTCGCTGAATTTTTTGCCGAAAATATCGGTCAATTTGAGAGATATATAATTGAAATTAGGAGAAAATGTCTCCCTAATATTAGTTTGTCTATATTTCAAAAATGGGTTGAATCGGAACAGTATTTTTCTCAGCCCCCATATACCTAATAGAAAGATTTTTGAACTACCGGTTGACTTTATACCCGACCAATATGCGACTTATCTTAATTAAGTTGATTGAACGTGTTATCCCATAACAGTACATCTCTGTGCCCAAAATAGATAAAATCGGATGAAAACTTGCCCTAGACCCTATATATTGTAACTTATATCAGGATTGTCAAACATCCGGTTCACTGTATACCTTAATGAAACTAAAAGCGCATCTGCTTCTGTTAATAATATGTAGTAAAGCCAAAAATAAATAAAATCGAGTCAATACTACACCTATCTACCATATACCTAATGAAATATTTTCAAACTTCCTGGTGGCCTTATATCGTATACATCAGTCAATATGGAAGATATCTTAGAAAAATTAACTTAACGTATTATATATTTATACGTTGGATATACTTTAATTTAATGCCGAAAATATGTGAAATTATCTTGTACTACATACATACATATAATAATTTCCGTGATTCTAACAAACAAATTATAATAATGACTTAACAGTATATATTAAAATTCTCATTTTCGGTTGGGTTTATATCATATATCTTATTAAAAGATAATTTTAATATAATTTTTCGCGGACACGGAGTAAAATATAGCAATACAACTTTGAACACACCTCGTATACTTTAAAACATTTTTATAATTTAACTTGCTATAACTATCAAAAAGTGCAGAAAGTATGTATGTTAATTTAATTCTTAAGAGCTCTACGAATATATTCTTATAAACGCCCTCGTTATATCATACATATGTACATATATTATTGTTCAATTCACTATGTAAACACGAGTTAGTGTTGTAGACGTAGTAGCTAAAAAATAGCACTTTAGACATTGTTTTCACACAACAACCTCTGTGAAGATTTCTAGACAACAACTGCACTTCAACTTCTTAAAACGAAATTATTGGTATGGCGCTTGTAATTATGCATAAAAATTACTTACAAAAAAAAAAGATTTTTACTATTCATTTATCTATACAAAAATTATATACTTTGAAGTTTGCCACCTCTTTTTAATTAAAAAACTAACTTGAAAAAATGTCTTCAAAGAGCTGAATCATAAAACAATTACATGAAGTCAGCAATTTAACCCTTTTTCATTTGACGAGTTAATTTTGATATAAAAATTATTAACAATGAATCAAATTTCAATTTTTATCTTCGTATTTTGAAGAGGATGGCAATTATTTTAAACAATATAGCAATAGCGCTACCAGCATTCTACAAATTATTCAAACGCTTTGTTATCCTATGTTTTCAGGTATAACGCCAGGGTATTTTGCGCCAGGGCCAGCAGCATATCACTTGGGCAGCCATCTGACACAGACCAATTCACCAGCATCACAGGTGAGTCATTACATACATACATCCATGTATATGTATATATATACAATATATTTATATGTATATTAAATCATATAAAAACAAAATATTATGTTTATATCTCGAGATAACAAGCCCCTATTGCCGTAATGCCCTCGAAAACAAATAGAGCCATTCCACATTGACTGTTATAGTCGTTTGGGTAGGGTAAGTAGAAAATTCCGAATTGTAAACGGTAAAGGAATGCGATGAACAAGGCGCCAACCAATCAACTCAAATGAATTTATAATCGACATTAACCGACTGTTTAACAACGGCACTGTTATTACGGTTACAGCGAACCAACCACCTCCGCTACGCACTGGAGATGACCCAAGTGAAGATTCACCTCGTGTGTTTGCTATTCAATTTAATCACATAATTACGGAACTTCCACATACTGACGCCTACTTTTCACTGCTGCCTATTATGTTCTTATACGAAAACTAAAACGATGGACGATGCCCAATGTGAAACTTATCATAACAAAGCCATCAAATATTCAACTGCACTGCACGCTGCCCTAAATTGCTCTAGGCCTATTCAACTGCAACTCAATGCATACCCGTAATCCTTTGAACTTTTTCACACCAATTTACAGCGGACATGGATTTATGTCAAGTCATCGTCAGCTTTGTTGTCAGGAATTTTTCATAGCTACAGCACACGCTATAGGTGGAGAGTAAGGGGAAACACAAGAGCCGAGAGATGGAGGGTATTGTATATATGTTTGTACCATGTGCCCTGCTGTCAGTCCGCAACGAACTTGCAATTATTCAATTATTGATTTCACAGGTCACATTGCCTTGCAAATAGTTTTATAAGGATATAATTTAGTAACCATGTAAAAAAGTCTCTAGAGGTGGTTATCTTCCTGAGAATTAGGGTAAGACAGCTATGGTTTTAGTCGTGACAATTACTTTTAATTATTAAGTATATACGCGTTTAAGGCTGGTTCCACATATCACTTAATAAAAACGACATGTGGGCGTTCTGTACTTGACATATTGAGCAGGGCCTTGTTGGTCTGTTGAGTGACGAGCGACAAATTACACCTGCTGCAATATGAGTGGAAAAATAAAACAAAATATATATGAAAAACATATTTGTTTAAATACATACGATTACCATGTATTTTATCACTCATTAAAAAAGGTAAAAGGCTACTCTGGAAGTCTCGGCTTATATATTTTTTCATATCTTCGAAATGTATAGTCGGCGCTTTAAGTATAATACACCGCTCCACTTCTTTATATTGTATAATATACAATTTCATTAGAAGTTACTTTACTTAGTAATGGAGTATATATGTACCAATTTGGCAACTTTTCAATCCTTTACTTTCTTAGCTGCAATCCTTTTCTTAACGAGAATTTAACTTCTTTGCATCCCCCCAACTTATAACAACATCCTTAAGTATATACATCAACTCGCAACGCCCGCATATTTATCAATCTGATGTCAAGTTTCACTGCCCCCAACTTTTCAAGTCAGCCTACAACACCTCAACTATTCAAAACAACAACACAATCCAATACAATAAGTAAAAAAGTCATGGCACTTAATAGGTCGTTAATAATGCATACAAACGAAACAACTTCGACAAAGGGTTATAATATATATATCGACACATATACATATGTACGAGTTCTATATATACAATTAATAAAATTTTTAAGCTCAAATAAAGTTTCAAACGTTTTACATGACTGCAGATCAATCAGAAGTAAAGTGATTAATAAGCTCAAAATCGGGGAGATACAGTGAAATAAAGTAAGCGGATTCGAAAAACTAGTGCCGCAGTAATGTAGTAGGAAAAGGTGTGCACTACCATTACGCAGGATATACATATGTACATATGTCCAATCCCTGCTGCGACAATATCAATAGCGGATTCATATGTGCAGCCTGCAGGCTAATCGCCTCTATATTTTGATAGTTTAGTAAGCCATCAATACAATTTTTATCACTAAAATTCCTTCTATATAATTTGTGCTCCATCATACTCGTTAGGTCAACTTTTCATGTATGGTTAATACCTATACTTGAGAACTGAGGTAATATGATAAATCTAAAGAAAATTCCAATCATGTAGTACTTTTTTAAGGTACTGTACACGACAGTTTATTCTGGAGAAAAATATGTTGCTATTTTTATCTCGTCTCAAATCTGTTTCGGGACTTTATTACTCATTAAAAGAATCATCACAAATGATCTTTCATAAGTAAATGGAACTTCCTGATCCTTGATAAATTTTCATGAAACCTCCGCTCTCAAACTGAGTTCTACACTCCAATGAAACAAAGCCCAAACAGGGTTCACAATACACACATTTTGTACTTTCAGAGTAAACTAGCCAATTTCTGTCTTGAAACTCTGACTGTCACTGAAACAAAACAATATTGAGTTGAAAGTTTTGTTTTTTTTACGTACGAAATTACGAGTAACCTTCGTTCAGTTTGTAGATTTTGAAAATATACCTAATATAAACAAAAGAAATGTTTTGAATATAAATTTTTATTGTATCCATCAGTAATGTTATGATATACAATTTTTTTACAAAATCCAGGGAACACTTCGAAAAAATATAGTACACAGCCATAAAGATGAGCCCCAGAATATTAACATCCATAAGGATCAAAAATTTCAGTGTGCAATAATCAAAAGTGACGTTTCTGTTTTATTTTGAACTTGATGGGAGACGAAAATTTCTTATTTGTATCGTTTCTCTATATCAATCTCACTTTCTGCCGAACTCAATACCTCGATGCAACGTGTGTATACTTGTACATGAGGACCCCGTTTTGACTCACGTAGTAATACGATCGTGCTGTACTCGTGCTAACTATTTGAGTAAACACACTTACCGAATGATGGTGTCGTTTGTTCAGGCATAACAACGCAAATACGACTATGCCATTTCTTACAAAAAATTAAATATATAAGTGTAAGAATTTATCTATTTTCAAATTAACAAATTGCCTAACTTAATATTTTGTAAACAAATTTTTTTGTCAATTCGCAATCGTCGAAATATCAGTAATTCAATTAATTCAAACCAAAATACTATATATGTATGAGATGTTGAAGAAGTTGTCATTTAGTTAAAAAATAATCGATTATAATTAGTAGTTTCTTGGAAGATTTTGTTGTTTTTTTAATAAGACAATTGCCGATTTATCAAATTATATGAAAATTAAACTTTGTTAGCGAATTTTATAATATTTAAGTTCATCGAGTAAAAAGTTTTATAATTATCAGAGAAAATATGGAAAAATTATTAAATTTCCAATATTATACAATATCGGTTCGATATTCATTTAGCATTAATATATACCATATTTAAAATTTGTTAAACTTTTCAATTTTGTCAAATGTTTCGAAATTATTTGAAGTGTATATAATAATTTTTCTTTAAATTCTGCTCCCTATGGCATTAGCCTACTCAGCATGCAGGTAAATCCGCCACTAGACCATATTTAATTAGCCATTTAGAGTCCGCGTAAGGTTGTTCGACCGTTCATTGGTTAAACTTATGGCGCACACCATAAATCGGATAAAAAACTCGGTGAAGAATGTAGAATACGTTTAAGCGTTAATTATATTTAGAATATACAATCAGATAATATATATGAACTGAAAACTACGGCCAAAAGAATTCCAACACATTTAAGTTCACTTGATTAAGAAGACTCAGAAATAATTTCAATACTTCTTTTTCTTCAACAAAACAAATCAAGCCCAGAAAAGCAAAGCTAACGAGACTAAAAATCAGAAGAAATAGACACTCATCTTAACCTGCAAACAAATAACTTTCGGCAAGAAATTAGCAAGCTGGCTACTAAACTCCAAGCAAGCCTATCACGAATGAGAGTAATAGAATGTGAATAATACCATTTCTGCGGCCACGACCGGCCCATATTTATATGCTACTAGTCCATTTATGACTTTTGAACAAAACAATCAATACTATCTAGTGGCATCTGTTCTTTTGCCTCTTTCAATACTAGCAAGTGCTTCAAGATGCAAATAAAATTAATCTGGAGAGAAGCGTTTTTAAATATTTTTTTCACATCAGTTATTTCTAACATTCGAAAATAATTTAGACAAAACGGGATATTTTTTGGGTAAAGTTAAAATGTACTACAGCTACATTATATCATTTATAGATATTAGTGCTTTAAGCATATTAAAATATTTATTGCAAAATGCAAAACTTTTAAACTCCAATAATTGTATAGGAAATAAATCCCTGACAAATTAAATGTGTAGCCTATTGCTAATTTGTTAACAAATCTTACCAGAAGTTTTCCACACAATCTATTTACACAAAATAAAAAGAGTGTAACAACATAATTATACCCGAAAGCGTTCTAGAAATTCAAACACCCCTACCTTGCTTTCATTCAGTGCAAGCACATATGTTGCAAATCCACCCTTATATGTATACTGCTTGGCTACCGTTCTTCCATTCCGTAACCTGCAATTGGAGAAATCAAAACACAATCAACCAAAAGGAAAACAAAAACGAGCGTGAAATGTAATAATAAAAATCTCAATAGATTTGAATTGAAAAGCAAACATTTAAACAAATGCGATTACAACTGCATTCAATTACAGTCTTCTCGCCTCGCCAGTACCGTAGTCATGTGAAGGGAGTTAGAAAGGGCGGGTAACCTGTATGGCGTGTTTACGTTTCCTCAACATTGGTTAATTGCGGGTGCAGATGGATGGCTTTCCCTTTCAATCGCTTATTATCGTGGTTGGAATAGATGAAAATGTTAATAAAATTAGACCACACAATTATTTTAATGGTTCACTTAAGCTTTTGCCCCGTTTTTTCTCTCATCTTCTCTATAGACCGGCCAAATGGATGTACCGAAATTCGCGCTTGATCGCAGCTCATACTTGAGCTCCGCAGCCACAGCTGGCACGCTGTACGAGACCTCGAAGGCTGCCCAAGCGAGTGCCGCCTACAGCGCCTACTTGGACCCCAGCGTCCTTACAAAGGCATATTTCGATTCCAAAATGTATCAAGACCGTGCTGCCAACTATGCCTTTGACATTTCGAAAATCTACGGTGCCCAACAGCATGGCACATCGGCGGCTGCCGCTGCGGTGGCACATCAACAGCAACAACAACACTTGCTCAATGGCCTAGGTATAGGCAGTTCACACCAGAACAGTAGCAACAATAATAACAACCATGCAACAGCGAATAACAATCTAGACGAACGCAACAACACTCCGCATTTGGACAGCAGCGGTGGCGCTGGTGGTGGAGTTTCAAGCGGTGTGGCGGATTCTAAACCACATCTACACTCGCCAACAGACGCACAACTCGACTATTCACAATATGCACAGTACGGGCAAGTTGGGGGAGCCGCCGTTGGTTTGGGTGGTGGTGTGGTTACCAACGGTGGTTTGGGTGGCATTGGCTCGGGTGGCGGGCCCGCAACTAGTGCTAGCGGCGATTTCCGACGTCCGCTCACAGTCATATTTTGACCACCATCCGTCGAGAGTGAGGAACTCAACCTATCCATGACGAACTAGATTGGGAAATAGTGAGGTTATAAGCATCAAATATTATATACATATGTATGCGTTTTAGCGATAACTGTAAATCGTATGAATATTTCACACAAGAACGGTTTTATTTCTAGAATCTTAGTTCACAGCTGCATATATGATACATATATAAAATAAACGAATATCTAACAAATACATGAATATATAAAAGTAATTGTAGAAAAATAAAAGGAAGCACTTAAGCAGAAAGTCCAATTTTTTACAGGACTATTGTGAAACAAAAAGGTTTAAGGCTAGGTTTGTTTTGAAGTGGATTTTATAATGTAGTGTGTAAAAATTCTAAGTGAAAATAGATATAAAAGTTATAAAGTTGATCGGTTTACACAAAGTTGGCAGGTTCATTTGTGAACGAGTATCTAAAGAGTGCTCAACGCCTATGAAACTACGGTCGACCAATATGTAACATCTCAATTGTCAAACTAAACAATTAAATAAAAGTGTAAAGTGAATTAATATAGTCTAATGTTTAAAAGTATATTTAATGTTCAGATATGTTCTAGCATTGGTCAGGACATTGTCTACTATATCCATTCATCATTTTGCAATGCTTCTTTTGAAATCGTTATTATTTGCCTTACATTTATTATATCAGATTAGCGCACCAATAAGGAAGGTTGTTAGATGTTTTTGATTAAGAAGTTAGGCCAGCGAAGGATTTTCATAAAATCTAAACTTTTTTTAGCTTAAAGTTATTCAATTGGTATAAAAAAAATAAATTTGACTCCGTTCAATCCGCTATATATGTCAAATCGGGGATGATTGAACATTTAACTTTAGCTTTGCAATAACATTATTTATTAATGTTTGTTATTATTGCAAAATTTTTTTTAAATCATTTTCTGGTAAATTTTCGAACGGAAATTTTATCCTTTTTTTCAAATCCACCATTTTACGAAAAATTGATGACGTACGTACTTTAACAGCAAGTGTTATGAAGATTAACATTTTATTTCCTTTCCTAGAATCATCTTCGTCCGTACAGGCCCTCTTGGCAAGGATCGAAGACCGCGGAATACTTTTAGAGGCATAAGGTTTGTCAGAATACCGAAAATCATATTGTAGTAAATCATATGTAGTAAATGAGACTTTGGGTAATTTATGGACCAATTTCACATATTTTTGGCATTAAACCATTGTATATCCAATATTATACGTTCGGTTAATTTTGCTGAGATTCTTAGATAACTCACATATTTGCCGATATATGCGCTATAAAGTCAGCCGACAGTTCGAAAATTCTTTCTATTAGGTATATGGGAGCTAAGGAAATTATTGATCCGATTCAACCAATTTTTAACATACAGGCATACTATTATCATAAAAGGATTCTTTGTGAATTTCTATAATATATGTCACTTTTATTAAATTTTAACAAAACCGTTATGTGGGGAGTCCGAATTCAATTTTCATAGGGTTAGTAGGGATGCCAAAAAGATATGTATCCAGCGAATTTTGTTATTATATCTTGAATGGCTTAGGAGATATGTACATACGTTAAAATTATTAGAGGGCGGGGCCACGCCCACTTTTTAAAGATACACCACAGGTACCCCTCACCACTATAACCCTCTTAACCAAATTACAGTTTTGTATCTTAATTTGATCTTAGTTATAGCACCTTATAGATTTTCGATTAATGGTGTTTTGTAAACCATGGAAGATATGTACCAAGTTTCTTCAAGATATTTCAATATTTACTCAAGTTATCGCTTTCATAGACAGACAGATGGACGGACAGACAGACACTCGGATTTCAACTCGTCTCGTCATCCTGATCTAATATAAACAACCGATAAGTGAACCAAACTATTTTACTTTGTAGCAACATGTTTCAAGAGTATAAAAATTATAAACTCAGATACATATTTTACCATAATTTGATTCCTTTTTCCTTAATCTGAGAATTAATTGTCAAAGGTTTTTTTTTGATACCTTAACTGGCCTTACCCGTTAAACCATTAAAGTTTAAGCAGCCACTTAGGAAACCCATTAAAAAATTCTATATTTATACTTAAATTAATCTAAATTTAATTTTTTGAAATTTTTTCTAATTTAAGCTTTATTTTAAAATTTTGAAAAGGCAATAAAAGGAAAAACTGAAATTGAAATTTTCAAAATAGAAATTTTTTCCTAGATTTTGATAGAATGTCACACACAGAACTGTAAAAATATGTTGAGTTGTTGAGATTAATGTATAGAACTTATAATATGTGACGAAAAAGTTATTAATACAACACGAGATAAATTTTAAGTGAATAAAGTGAATTTAATAAATAAGAAATCAATACCATTAAGAATTTATTATTAAATGAAGTACGAATAAATTGTTTAAATAATAATAGAGAAATAACGAAAAATAAAGAACGAAGAAAAAGACATAGCATTAAGCATAGTTGATAAACTACACATATAAAGCAAATATGAATTAGTTAATGTTAATAAATAGAAATGCATAGAGTAATTAAAATTAAAATAAAAATGCACACACACATATAGTATTTAACGATGTGAGCATTGTAATTAAAATCTTATTATCAATAAAAAAAAATAATATGCAAATGCATAGCTCTTTCTATGTTAATCATGAGGAAATGATATAATTCTAAGTACGCAACAACAGTTTCAACCATAGGGTAAAATTTCCGCTTATATACAATAAATATGGGTGTTTATGTAAATATAACATTCTTACACATGTACATACGGACGTAATTAACTTAAATTAATAGCAAACCAATGTGAAATGTTTGCCACAAAGGCATTGGCAAAATTATTAACCTGCCGCCCTGCAAACCGCAACTCAAACAGCACTCCAGCCAACTCAAGTGAGCGAAAGTAAAGCGTTTCCTCATTTACCATATTTCTGTATTTGCTCTTTTTTTGTCCCTTCTGTCACCAGTGTTGTTTGCGCTGTGACAAAAAAAGCAAAAATCATAATTATGAACTTAGCGGAGCAAAGAGAAAATCAACCCTTAAATGGCTAAAATAGTTGTTTTATTTTAATTGCTATTTGGTTCTTTTGACGTTGCAGTTAAAACGGAACGTGCGCCACTTAGCGGATCGAGCAGGTAAAAGTAATTGGAAAATAGCACTAATTGCAATTTGCGCCAATTTGAACGCGCTTCAACTACTCTCGCTTTGAGTATCCTCTCGGTGGAACACAGTTAGCTTAAACGACACAACTCTCCCAATCCCCCCGCCGCGCGCTCCTTTAGTACTGCGTACTGAGCAATTAACTCAAATCATCGTGCTTAGCTTCGTCGCAATTGGTCGCTTGAAATCGCTGACACCTTCGCGGCTCCGTGAGATGGGAATGCAAGAATTAGTATAATTGAAAAGCCTACGTAAAAATTTTGACACATGACTCTTATATTATATACAAAACAAACTCGTACAAGATTTGTTATAAAAATTGCATGAATTACCACGACAAAATGTCAGCTCAGTATATTCCAGAGGGAATCAAAACTAACCTCTCTAATCCGATTTCACCCATTTTCATACTGTCCATGGGATATGTACATTTAATCTATTAGGGGGCGATAATGATCATTCAATTCATTAAGTTATCTTAATTTTTACTCAACTCTTCTCGTTATTCTAATCCATATCTATCCTGACTAGTTTCAGATGATACAAAACTATTTTACTCTGTAGCAACATGTTGCGAGCTGTGCGTTATGAGAGTACACAATGATTTCTTGATAATAGGGAATAGTATGTCACTGTCAACTGTGGACAAAATTAGAGAGTTCTTAATATCCAAGTATAAAAAATACGATTTTCTGCCATAAACGTTGACTGCAAACGTTGTATTATATTCACCCGAAATTAGTTTTAAATTGTCTGTTGTATCTAACATTTCATCTAACAATTAAAAATCGATGGATTATAAAACGTGTAATTTGTAAATTATATCATACCCTTTAATATAATACAATATCATATTCTCCAACCGCATAAAAGCCGCAGAAGGGCTAAGAGGGCAACTCAAAATCAAAATCTCTTAAGGCCATTAGCAATATGTTATTTATTTATTTTATTCTTAAAGATGTTGCATTAATTCAAGTTTAGAAAGCCATTCTAAAGGCCATCTGTGGTGTAATCAGAGAACTTAGAAGAACGAGAAGGCAGAGAATGTTAATAAATAGAGAAGGCGCAAATCTTAGCTGTGCTAAAATGTAAACTATTAAAAGGGAACACCGAAAATTCGCAAATTCGAAAGTTCAATTACACCACGTCAAAAATGTACCTTCCCCTCATAATAATCGAACTCAACAAACTACACCACTCTAAGCAGGAACCAAGTAAATGTTCACTACCTTATAAAGGAACCTCTAATATATATATGCGCAGATGTTCTTTGGCATGTGTGTTAAGGAAAATTATAATAACAAAAAGAAATAATAGATTTTGAAGAACATTTATAAATTAGGAAAAAATTTAAATTAAATTAAAATAAATTTAATAGAAAACGTTTATAAAAATAAAAAAAAGGAATAAAACTACATCTGTGCTAGGAGTGAACTCAGGCAAATATTTGATGTGAATTTGCAAAAACGAGCTGTGCTATACAAGCAGCACCACAACAATGAAACTGTGAACTCAAACAGCTATTGTCGTCTACTAGTTTCAAATGATCAATTTATATCTGAATATTCTTGAAATTGCCTTTCCTCCATTCGCATGTCCAAATATATTTGAATATATGTACACATATGTATGTACATATGCAGGTACGTCCCTCAATATGCCTTTTGTAAAAATATCAATTCCCGAAATTGCCTTTCCTTTATAATTCTGCACTGCGCTCTTTGTTCTGTGCGCCTGGTCAACCAAATTTGGTTTTCATATGAAATTCCTACCGCAAATGCACCAAATGCAACCATATGTTTCTTTTTGAATTTGAATGTCTACAGAAAATTGAAGAATCAGCAAAAATTCAATTTTACAATTTGTATCACTGAAAATCCTACCATCCCCCTCGCATTTTTATGTTGGGTACAACTGCTTCCCGGCAACATTTGCTCAAAATCAGAAATTGAAGAATTTGTCTGATGTTCCCTTCAGAAAGGAGAATTGGCAACATGACCTCTTAGCGATTTGAAATATTATTTTAATTTATTTCATATTATGCATTATATATGACATTATATTATAAAATTTATATAAAATTGCCGTATTACTTATATTAGTTCGAAGCACATTTCATATGTATGGTGCTTATGCATGTTAACTTAATATCATATTTTTATTGATTTTCTATTTAGCCCGTTTTCTCTAAATTCAATGGCATGAAAATGCAGCCCAATCGGTAGCCGTAGTATTTCAAAAGAGCATAAGTCAATTTTCAATAGCAAACCACTGCAAAAAGAACAAACGAGACAACATAGCCGACCGACATTGTCGTAAAATTGTCGATTCAAGCAAATTTTGTCAACTTGCCACTATGCGCAAAATTCGGTGTCAATATGTATGCGACCTCGTATGTATATATGTATGGTGGTCGGCAAAGTTGTCATTTGGTTTTTTTCAACGTTTTGTCAGAACTTAATTTTTTGCTCCGCCCCGTCTCCCCGCGAACTCGCCGATACTTCCATGGCGTGCCATCATGATCAGAGGCGTTTCAACGGGGACTTTTTATCATATTATTATATTGCTTAATTTGTATAGGAAAATACTGATATCTTAGGTCTTAGTTCATACTTATTTAATCGTTTTTAAAATAAACTCGATTAATAAAAATATATCTGAAATAATTATGTGGTAGTACACCCCCGGACCCCTCCTTGCTTGCGATCGTTCAACTTGCTTCTCGCAAAAAGCAAAAAGTGTGGACAAAAGTCATTGCTTGTGCGGGGCAAGAAGAAGCAAGCATCAGGTACGTGTATTTAAGAATGTATGTGTGATTATCACATTTGTGTAAATACGCATAATAAGGAAATATTCAATAAACCTAAACATATGAATATATTTTCCTGATATATTTTAATTATATCAGGAAGTAAAATATGATATTAAAGTAATTGAATTATGATATGCTTAGACTCCAATTAATAAAATCAAATTTAATTTACATGAGTTTTAGGATTCGAACTTATATGCTCGTATTCGGAATGAGCTTAACTCCTTCACGCTTACGACCTAAGCCACCACAAAAGTGGAAACGCGGCCACTTAGCCACCGTTTTATTGTTATCCTTTGCTATAATAAGTCAATTGTTCTAGATATTATAATTATATATAAGCAATTACTCACGCAACGCACATACATAAGTTGGAAAAATTGCCTATTAAATATTTATTTTATTATAAATTCTGGCGTTTTTACCGGTAATACAGATTTTTAATTCAGAAGGCTTTTCATAATTATAAATTTGTCATATCATAGAAATTGAAAACATAAATCTAAATAGGTATGCGCAAAGATTTTTCATTTAGGAATATTCGTTGTGTCTATTTATAGCATTTCGCATATTGTGTGGTGTATTTTTCTTTTTCGAAGTTATATTTTTCGATGTTCCCTCATGTGGAATTACAAATTAGTACTCAAAAAGATTTCATTTAACATTTGCTCCATTTGGCTCCTTCTCTATTCATTAACATTCTCTGATGTCACCAAATTAAGTTCAAGTGGACAATATAGTTTGTGACATATGCGTACTACACCAATTCTCCATTTTTTAAACACTCAACACATGAAAGATCACTGTGACAGTAGAGTAATCAAGTTTGACGTTTATGGTAATAACATATATTTCAGTAGTTTCGATTATAGTTGTTTTGTAGACGGTGGGTGAGGATAATCTTTCTGCAGTATGAAATAGCGGAAAGTGAGTAGAGTTTACGGAACAGCGTCTGTTTTCGTAATGATGTGAATTTCTGGGTGTGCTAATCGGCTGTATCCACCCATATATGG